TAAGGTGAAAAGGTCCGCGACAACTGAAGTGTTTCAACATCTGCATGATTCATGGTTAAGCAGTTATTAAAAATGCAGGTACGTTTATACGGGTCCCAGGTACGTTTACACGGGTCCCAGAGGAGGTCTTCGTTGGCCACTGGGACCCCGGTGGCCCCCTGCTGTTAAAAATTGGTTTTCAAAAACTTGACAATGTGTGCAGCCGTAGAAACAGGCTTTGACACACACACACACACACACGCACACATGTCTCCGTGGCCGCCTCCTCACCAAACATGGCAGGTCCGCTGTTTCTTTGCTTACCTTTCTACGTCCACTCTCCATCACTTCTCATGAGCCTATGTCGTCGTGTGACCAATGTCAATGAGTCTAAGTGAGCATGCGGTACCACTTTAATGTAAAGACCGTGATTGCAGTGGGGCTCCGTCGTCGACGCCCTCAGCCCATGTGGCATTGTAATCCTATATCCTTTATAGTGCGCTGTCCAAATCTGAAATGATGTCCTGAACATAAAATGCAGGGGAGAGATGCGGGGTGCAAATGGAAGTGCTGTAGTAACACTAACACCATTTACGTACCAACCGTGACTTTGGGTCACACCAGAAAAGGTGCTCTCTCGATCGCTGCTAGATGGTCCGGTGACACATGTGGTGACATTGGATACACATTATTCACACCGAATGATCATTTACAGAGTGATTGCATGTTTGGTGGGTTATTTGGCAAGTTGAACGTTGAGTGAATAATTGAACTTTTCTTCGTGTTTGCTTTTGGTATATTTGTTGGTCAACCCAAGGATGGGAATGAAAAGCCTGACCGATAGATAGATTGCCTGCTTAAATGGTGATTGAACCAATGTGCATTTCTTTCCGATGCCAATCATGCTGGCCATTGAACCGTAGCATGCTTGCGCAGCCAGGATTGTCAGATAAATTGACCTGCTCTGATGATGCAGTTGTGAAGTTGGAGGTCAAAGTTTTTCGCAGGAACTAATGCTCCAAAACTCCACCGGCCTTACCAGACATAGGGTCCGTTCACGTTTGTGTCAGTGGTCGACATTAATTTGCTTAGGACTTGGGACTAGAATCAGAATGTACAGCAACAAAGTTGCCAAAGCAGTCCAGTTGTGGGCTGTGTCAACCAGATGAATCTAAAACCCTCGCACTTGGTAGAGCCGACAAAATGGCAATGAGTGCTTTCTTTGCCACTTGGATGCACAATTTTCACTTGTCCAAAGAAGGAACCAGTGCCGCGAGCAACCATGTTGAGGAGACATAGTTTTGCAAAAGGCATGCGTGTTTGAATAGCCCAATCAGAACTGCTGGCTGTTCACAAACCAATTTGCAGCCTTGGGTGCTTCAAAAGAAGCACGTCCTTCACAATGTCTGTAGTTTTTGCAAGTTTCAGGGACCAAGAATTCGCAGGAATTCACTGCTGTGGTCTCAGGTCTTCAGATTGCGTGGATGAGGCGGGCGAAAGTGTCGAACTGAAGTCTCTGTCAGAGAAGGGGGTCATAAAGTCACAAACAGAGTGCCCACTAAGACTCACCCGCACACCCTTTATGTTTCTCTTTGTGTGTCCCTCTAGCTCTAGCTCTAGCTCTAGCGCTCTCTCTCCCTCTCTCTCTCTCTCTGCCCTCTTGCTCTCAGTTGTTTGCAGCAGTTCCGGCCGGGGTCTCAGCTTTAGGGAAGCAAGACTTGCCAGTTGAAGAGAGGAGCCTTTGGATGGGTTGAGTAGTGAACGCAGGTACAAAGATATAGAGAGCAGACAAAGGACAAGATCAATTTTGCGAAGAACCCACCCTTCTCATCTAGATGGTGGCTGACAGGTGCTTTTATCCCAATTTTCCTCAACAGTGCCAGTTTGGTGCCCAGTTATTCACTCCAAGTAGATCAACTTTCCAACGATTCAGGGGGTGGGCGGTGATCGGTTCGGACAGAAACGAACAGCACTCTGCCATGCTCTGCCGGGTTCAAGGGACACATGACAAATTCCATAGATCAGTCCGAGCTGAAGCTTCTCAGGGGCGACTTTCCCCGATTTGGAGCATCAGCCGTGTTGTTTTGAGAGCTGAAGAACAAGTTTGGACTGCATCTATCAGAACTGCAAAGATCTCCTTCAAACCCAATTTAACAAAAGAAGAAGGACAAAAACAGAAAGAACCTGGAATGCAGCAAGATGCCAAGACCCTGTGGGTCGTAGGACGCCGCAGGATTCAGATGTCTTCCACCTAGCCGTCTTTCACCCCAAAGGTGTTCTGCCTCGCCTCCTCTCGCGGATCCGGCGATCCGCGACCGCTCATGCTGTGGCGACCGCTCGGCGACGTCTCCGCGGAGACGGAGCTGCGATGGAGCGGGGGCTCCTTACGCGGATCTTGTATCCAGCGCCGCAGGCGACCTACACGGCGGAGAGCTTCAAAGGCGAGTGGGAGCGGTGGGAGCAGTGGGTGCAGCGGTGTGGAGGTTTCTGGAGAGGCATCATCATTGGTGTCTCTAAGAGAGTGGCCTCAAGAAATGGACATCGAAAACGACCAACGACCTGGACCTTCATGGAAAAAAGGCTTTGTTCTTGGTGTCGGGTGGGCCGATCGGTGCTCCCCAGGTGCGCTGATCGGATCTGTTCAGAATCGTAGGACTCTCGTGTGCGAGTTCAGATCGTGTGCGTGGAGGAGCACGGTAGAAGTTGGATGAATCAACTCCCCCCTTGGTTTCCCCCCGGAGGTGGCCTATGAGGGTTTTCAGGTGGCCGACCCGGGCGGTGGTCGATGCAGAGAGTTTTCGAACAGGGCGGCGCGAAAGAGGGACATGGAGGTAATCCAGAACCAATCATGAAGTTGAATCACTCCCACAGCGGCTGGTCGGCTGGTTCGCCATGTGGCCCACTTTTGGCGCTCCCCGCCGAGTGGTCGGTGTGGTACAAGGGTGTGCAAGGGCTCGGACGACGCATGGTCGGTGCCTGAGGTGAACTCATTTGGATCCCAAAGAAGAGCTCGTTAGATGGAGACGCGCCCTTATTGGGCGTGGATTGCGTGCCGTGCCTTTTGTTGAAGTATCCCTACAGCCGATTCTTGGTGCTCTTCTTCCACAGTAACGCTGAGGATCTTGGTAGGCTTCAATTGGGCGCTGCGTGCCGGGGCTTTGGGGACGGCCGCCCAATTTGGGGGGCCGTGAAGAGCAGGTGAACCTCCAACCAGAGGTATATGTTGAAGGGCCCAAAACAAGGATGCTTTGCAGAGGTTGGAGACAGACGAAGTTGTGGGTTCCCGTTTGATAAATTAAGCAAAGTGTGGTGGCTAACTATACATCCAATCACTTTGATGATGATGATGATAAAAGAATTCAGTAGTGCGATCCCTACTCTGCCTTGCTTCACATGACAGTGGCTTCATCAGATCCATGCTTTGATTCACAGCCTTTCGGAAGCAGAAATTTCAACAACTTGGAGAGTGACTAATCCGGCCCAGATGGGCCAGATGGGTGTCGATCCGGGGCTTGGAGGTGTCCCAAAGTGGTCCTGCAACATCCAGTCGTGCCATCCCTCATTCCTCCATTTGTGGGTGCTGAATTCCTCTCCTTGTCGCTTGGTCATGGAGGTGCTATTCCTTTTGTGTGGCGATGCGGGACCGCTTTCAGGTTCCAAAAGCCGGGGTGGGAGCCGCGGTTTCTGAGTTCACAGGGACATCTTAGCGTGGCATGGCGGTGTGAAAACAAAACATATACATAAAGCAATCAAGTAAATATACAATAATACAATCTTTTCAGTGATACCATATCAATCTTTGGATCGCTGGGGGCAGTGTGAATTTCATGTTGAGGTTTTGTGAGGTCTTGGGTTAAGCATGTGCCACCTCACCCAGATGCTTCCAGATTTGTCTCGTCCGCAAAAGGTCCAGGCCAGAAACACCCCCCATGGCCGATGGAGGATTTCTGGTGAGCAAATTGGTCGGGATCAATCCTTGCACCTCATTGATCTCTCCTTTCACCTGGTTGACCCACACTTTGTCACACGTGCGGCGTCTGACAGCTTCATAAATGGCGTCTGACAGTCACGCTCCGCCGGAAAACCATATGGGGTGAAAGTGGCGAAACACAGTGGGAGGTCCCTTGTGCTTGTTTCCGTGTGTTCTTTGCTGCAGAGAGGTTTCTATGGAATTGTATCCTCGACATGTGCAAAACATGCCGATCATGCCGAAAGAAGATTAAGTGCTTTGCAGAAGTCTTCTTAGGGAAACTATAGGGAGTCCTAGCGTTATCCGTTCTTCCAATTGCGCATTGACTGGCGGGGTGAGCACTCTGAACGGATGAGGTGCACGTGTTGGCTGTGGAGTATCCCGGCTATGGGATCTGTCCGGGTGTGGCCACTGGGCCGTCGGTCATGGAGAACGCCTTCTCAGCGCTGCACTTTGCGACGCAGAGCCTGCGCTGGCCACTGGAGTCCTGGATGCAGACGTGTGGCATGGTGTGGCCACTGGGGTTGGACGGTGTAGACAGTGTAGCGCCCCAGACAAATCTCCCCATATACCACATGGATGCACTGCATCTATGGACAGAGCAGCCATCCGCCGCATAGTGGGACCATCCAGGAGGTGGAGTTCAACTTGATCAGAGAAGACACAGTTTTTTTTTCATTTTTCTCGCAAGCTGGCGACGGAACCATAGTCCCGCTTGCTTGGACAATCTTGGTCTTTTGGGAGGCTTCCATCCAACATATAACCCTAAACCCTAAACCCTCCCCCCCTAAGCAGCTAACCCTCGGTCCGAGAAACCCGTCACACCGACCTCGCCTCACATCGACTCCGGGCAGGATAGCATTTTCATCTTTGGGCGCTCGATCGGCACGGGCCCCGCGGTGAAACTCACGTCGCTCTTCCGCTTCGCTGGGGCCATCCTGGTGACGCCCTTCCTGTCGATCGGCGAACTGTTTCGGGACCGCGTGGGGCCCTTGGCTCAGCTGGTGGAGGACCGGATGTGTGTTTTGGTGTGTGTGTGTGTCCACTCCTGTTTCCAAGGACACTACCCTAGTTTTTCTAATCTACCCTACAAGCTTTTCTGTACAGAAGCAGGGGGCACGGCGGCCGTTCACCTAGCCGTGCTAACAAAGCTATGGTGTTCGGTTGGAAGAGATACTGGACGCAGTATCTTGTACCTGCAATTTTTTAATCTTCACTCATTGATGCTTCTAAGTCAGTTCAACGCTGTCTCATACGTTGATTTTGCGATAAAGGGCTAATGCTTGTAACTAAATGTAAAGGGCTAATGCACACCGCGAAGCTACCTGAAATCACGCTCCACGGAGCAACCTTCTCAAGTGTGTTTTCGCAGCTTCTTCCCACTGTGGTGAGCTGTGTGATCCCTACGGGGCGCCGTTACCGCAAGAACCTGTTCACTCCTCACCGAGGGAGTAAGTTTCCTGAATTTTCTCTGAAGTCCCTTAGACTGAATTTGACCTGCTCGAAATCAGCTTGGATCGTCTCACCCAGCACACGTGAAGATTACTGCAGAGTTCACTGAAATCCTTTCTGAATCCCACTGCAGAGTTAACTGAAAGAGTTTCACCCGGAAATCCATTCATTCCTTTCAAATCTTTTAACCTTTCAAATCTTTTTAACCTTCCAAGTTTTAATTCCATTTTCCAGAATTTAATTGCGGTTATTCAATACACTTCACAACTTTTTCGACCTCACGGACCTTATTTATTTATTTTCATACATACATACATATTTTCACTGTCTTTGACTTGCCGAGCAGCCATGACGTATCCCTGGCCCTATTCTTTGCCGCCACACATCCATCCACAACCACAACCTACACAACCCCATTGGATTCAATTCCCACCACAGGCTTCACCACAACCTTTTCCAACACTGCCACCGACTCCACCGCAACACCCAACCTCACATCACTACCCATTGCCCATTACACCTCCACCTCATGCTCAATACATCCAACCACATCAACTTCAGGCACATTTTCCAGTGCAACCTACGGCTCCCTTCGACACTACCCAACTTGCGCAACAACATCCACATCTCACAACTCAATCACCACAATCCCAAGCTCACACACATCTTACATTGCCACTTCAGTCTCAATCTCAATCTCAACCACCACCTTTACCTCCCCAACCACATCCACCACATCTACCACATCAATTACATCCTTCACCACACGCGACAAATCAAACTCCTGCCACAACATCCTTTCAACCACCACCACTACAAGCACCTGATGTACTACAAGCACCACCACCTGATCCAACAACAATCACTTCACAGCAGTTGACCACACCAACTCCACCACCACCACCTTATACTTCAACAACCTCACCAGCGACTACTCAACCTGCTTCAGCATCCATCAACACACCCGCACAGCCTCCGCCACCACACCACATTCCACGCACTACCAAGCCAACACCTTCCATTGCACCAACACTCAGCACTACAAGAGGCATTTGGCGCGACCCAGATCGCTCACCACCACGCACACCTGAACACCACCGCTACTCAGCCTTTCCAGCCGTACCTTCCATTGCACCATCACAAGCTACATCCAGATCCAGGAGCCGCACTCGATCACTACGTACCACACGCTCCCCACTACCAAGACGTCGAAGCTCCGTCACACAATCTGTGGCTAGTTCTCAAGCTCAATCCAAACCTGCAGACAGACAAGCATCACAATCACCAGCAATCACCCAAGACAAAGCTCACACTTCCATCCAAAACATCACTACAGCTACTACTGCAAAACACACTCCTGAGCCACCTCGTCGTACTTCGAGCATTACACTCAAGCCCAACCCGCATTTCACTCCCAAACATCCCACAAAACAGACACCTCCACCACCACCACCAGCACCAATACCTGCAATTCCAGTCCAACGTCGACCTCACAACTTGCCACCTCCAATTTTCCAACCACCCACTGATCCAGCACAATTGGATGTCTTCCAATGGCTCAACCGCTACGCACAAGCACTTGATGTCAACAATGAACCCATGCTGTCCTACGTAGCCAAGGTGCTCAGTGCAGCTCATCTCAACAGCACCCACTTTACCGACCTACAACTTCTCACCCACAAGAAATGGAGCGATGACACCAACAAAGAAGAACATTATTCCTTCCTACTACTCACAATCCCCACATTAGCGAGCAGGGGCGACGCCCCGATTCTTCCTCCTACACGGAGAGAGGCGCTGAACATACCACCTATCAAACACATTTTTGCGGCACATGTTAGCGAGGAGGGCAACATTATTTCAATCCTTGAAGCAGGAGAAATCGTGCGATCCATTCTGCATGATGATCACAATGTGGGATATTTTTGTCAGGCGTTCGAATTGTCGAACTACGAGCCCCATGATGCTGCTGAAGCTGCACGCGTCCTCTTCAATGCTTCCAACATGGCCAAGAACCGCAGCGGTCTCATTCTGACGATCAAAGCCTATGGACACAGCCAGAAAGTCACTCATGGTGGCGAATCCGCAGCGAATGACTTGCTGCTCAGAGGAGAGGGGATTGTAAAATACACCCCAGGAAAATGCTGGGTGGCCCATCCCAAATAGAAGGGATAGCTTGGAAAAGCGATGCAAAGCCACCGCTCAGTTTCATTTAATTCAATCTATTCAGCTCACGAGGTTCATTTTTCACCCCGTATCTTGGATGACGACCAAGCCTCAAACAATCTCAGCCAGCCTGCCTGATTTTGATATTGACTCTGATTTTCTCACACATCGCTGTCAACTTCCTTTTCTTCCGATATGTCATTCTTGTACAGATTGATGCAGACAACATGATCTTTTTTACGGTCACTTTTCCAATTTTCCAGACTTGCAGCATGTCAGCATTCCTGGTTGTTATCAAGCTTTTCGAAGAGAGTCACAAGCACTTCGAAGAGAGTCGCAAGATTTCCCGTGATTTGCAACCTGCCCCGCAGCCATTTTGTATTATATTGAATATTGAGCTCGATCCCCGACGACCAACCGAGCTATATTTGCCTCCCGACGACTACCACGACGATGACTTCCCCTTTGGACACAGCATTTGCCCATCGACTTCTTTTGGCACACCTTCAAGCAGCCACCTCCATTGCTACTACTTTTCAAAACCTTCCACCATTTACACCGCAACTACCACAACAAGCACATCACCCACTCACTACCACTCCACCTTCTCCCCAAAGACCAGCCAGACACACTCCTCCACCACTGCAACCACAGCCGTCTTTCTCACGCAGCCGCAGTCCGCCTCCCGCCAAAGGCAAACCATTCATGGAGTGCAAACCAGAACCTTCTCCTTCACATACGCCCACTTCACCACATCAGTTTTCACCACACCGCCACAAGTCCAAAGCGACTCACCAACACAAGAACAATACAGACCTCCAGAAACAGCGTACACCACCAATCACAACGATTTCTCTCACCAGTTCGCCCAATTCACCTCCACAAACATCACCAGTTCCACCCATTCCGCCACTACCCACACCAATACCACCTGCATCACCAGTACCACCATCCAAACCAGCACACCTCCTCACGGATTCACCACACTATCCTGACAATGGAGGATGGGAACCCAGTGAAGATGAAAAACTTGCGGCCTTTAAACTCAACAAAAGATCTCGCCCCAGTTGGAAATACATAGCAAAAGCACTCAACAAAACACCTTTTGACTGCAAAGGTCGATGGCAAGTCTTGCGAATTCTTTATACACCTCAACAGCCAGACAGTCCAGAAGCAGAAGCATCATCACCACACAAGGCATCTCAACAAGCAGAGGCAACTCCTCCAGCCACAAAAGATGCCAGTACGATGACTACGGAACCTCCGGATCTGACTGACAAAGAGACATAGAATACACAACAGCAGTCTATGAACGTCCAGACAGTGCTTTCCACGACTTCTTGGTGCTGAAGAACATCCCGAACTATTGATGCCTTTGTACTGTATTTTATTGTCAATTCGTACATATTTACATATTGGCTTATTGCTTATTGCTTTTTGTCGTTCCAGCAGTTGCGAGCAATAGACTCCAACCCACAACACACCATTGCAGCTTTCTTCCACATGCGCAGCAAAAAACAAGATCGGTCGCCAGCAGTGCACATTTTGCTTGAACACATTTTGCTTGAACACTTGCCACAACCTCTCGACCACTGAAGCATCGCCAATACTCTGTACAGACCAGTTTATTCAGTCTAATTCATCGTTTCATTGCATCCATGCGAATCACTATCGAATGGTCTCCCTATTGTTGAACCGGATGAACTTTTCGTTTCCAAGTTTTTCTTTTGGAGCCAAACCACAGAAGCCAAACCAAACAAAACCACAGAAGCCAAACAATTCATGCAACCACTTATTTCTCGCATCATTGACTTTCTACGAGGCCTCACACCACCAGCCGGCGAAGGCACAGCACTCCGAAAGCTCCAGCAACAGACAGATCGCTTACAACAACAAGAGAGCGAACTCCAGCGCGCTCGCGACAAGCTGAAGAATCATGGCATTGCACTCACACCAACCAAGCCAGGGTCACACCATGCCCCATCATCCGCCACCCACACACCGCATCTCCCACTCCCAGCCTCTACCGCCATCACAACCACCACCATTCTTAATCCCACCACACAAACACTCCATGACAACTCACCAGCCAACTATGCAGCAGCTGGCATTCAAAAATGGCTCAAGACATTACCACCAGCCACTCAGACACAAGTTACCAACATCCAGCAGATTCTTTGCGATGAACATATCACAAAAGAACAACTCCAAGAAGCAGCTACCCGCTACGGCATTCCGCTGGCTCGGGTCCTCAAGCTTCCCCCACGTTCACTACAGCAACTGGTGGCCGCGGGTTCGGCATTGGCAGCCTGACTCGTACAACAAGCGCTGCATCAACCAACACATCACACCCTACAATCTTTAACAACATTACACACAGCGCTCTCACACTTTGTCCATTTCACCCCCTACATTGACAAGTCACACGCTATCTTTTCTGTCAGTCTTATTCACCTTACGTGCCTCTTTGCCTTTCCTTCGCAAACACATCACTCTATACAATGGCGCTCCCGTTTCAACCAACTACAAGTTACACCACACACCTATCACTACCAAATGTTCACACATCCCAATGCGGTTTATGCCAAGCTCTTTTTCAACCAACATCACACAAGACACCAGTACCACCAACATGGACATACATACATCGGCTCTACCAGCATCACTATCCCCAAGCGAGAATACAATCGTCACGCAAAACTCAAACAATTACACAATAACCACCCAATTTCAGCTGAACTTTCTCTACGCTACTGGCACTCCAAGAACAACCTCCACCACTACAGCACTATTTACCTTTCCCATCACGACACCTATGATCAAGCATGGACCTACGAACACCTGCGAATCCAAGAATGGCAACCTACACTCAATTGGCCCTATATCCAACGACACCTCAAACTCAAAGCCTCAGGTTGGCAATTCTCAAAACACCGCACCACTTTCACACGGATGTCCACTCACAAACGTCTCTTCCAACGGCTCCGACGACGACAACACACCATTAAGCAACCCCACCTTCACACAAGTCAACGCCTACACGCCCTGACAGTTTTACGCGAACTCAGCAAGCATACACTTTCATCTTTTCAAACATCAACAGCCATCCGCAGCGGCAAATACACTGATCTCGAAATTTACGCTTTCCGTCGAATGGCCGCCAGCCTAGAGGAACCAGATCGATCACGTGTTCTTCACCTTCTCCACTCAGCGCTCAGCTTTCGCAATCTCACTCCACCCAAAGCCAACAAACCCTTTACCATTCCTTTCCTCTCCCACAGTACCTTCTCGTCTTCCACGGAAAAATGGCTTCGCACACTGATCCAACACCACATGCATCACGTCATTCCCTTCCACCCCCCTACTACCAAACTACGCGAAGCAGCACACAAGACTTTGCGTTCCCGGCTCTACAACCACAAACGTTGGGAAGAACTCTTCTCCACACATCCCACAGCAGCTGACATGCCATGCAGCTGCCACCACATGCACACCTTGCTTCGTCCCAACCACACACCGCCGCTCTACGATGGTCACTACGTGCTTACACTTGAAGACCTACAGCTCCCCAGCCATCTTGAGCTATTCCTACAAGCCAACATGAACAGCACTTTCTTTCCCACAAAGACGCAATATTTCCAACACTTTCAACAACAACTCACTTACTGGCTACGACACCATGGTCTACCCACCGCACTCCATCAACACAGCCTACCTTTTCTACACCAACAATGGAAACAGCACATCGACAATCTTCTATACACGCCCCGCTTTACATCCCGCAACGTTACCCAACTTCAACAGTTTCTTACAGACAAGCTGGTACTCCATCATGCTGACCATGAACTACAAAACCTACGACTCTTTTGCCCACAGCACTACTTCCACGGATGTCTCACCACATGGAATACACCACAACTTTTTCTCCCACTACCAGATCTCACAGCCCAACAACTCCACCAATTTCTCACACAATCCTTCCCAGCCAGCATTCGCAAAGCATACCCCTGGGGCTTCCGCACAAAATTCTACACGCCACATGGAGTAGTTTTCCTCAAACAAAAGAAATCCTGGCGAAAGGGTAGAACAGTCATCAGCTATTTCAGATCCATCGCAGGCACATTATTACGAGCCACCTCCAAAGCATTAGACATTATGCTCCTTCATCTTCTACCACAACATCCAGGCCAATTATCTATACCCAACCTTTGGCAACACCTCCACAACCATTTCCAGACCACACCCGAAGACATCCACCTCACACCGATCAACGACGACCTTGTCGGCTTCTTCAACAGCGTACCTCAACAACGCCTTGTCGACGCAGTCATCAGCCTGTGCCACCGCTGGAAAGCACAACACAACACCACTACCATCACCATCGATGTCCAGTCTACCGGCAATCCCATCCAACACTCACACATCGGTCGCCACTACATCCACCACCCACAGCAACGCACACTTGACACACAACACATTCCTCTTATCGTTCAACAAGCTCTTCACTCATGCATTTTCCAAGCTTGCAACACCTACTACAAACAAATTCAAGGAGCCGGCATTGGCAGTCAGCTCTCACCAGCACTTTGCAATGTGGCAATTACACTCATTGAACACACTTGGCAAACCACATACCACAACTTCTTACACCAACCAAGCCTTCACTTGCTCAACACTCGCTACGTCGACAACCGATACATCTTGCTCAACGAACAATACAGATCAGCACTCCCCATCACTACATTGGCCCATCCTGAATTTTATGAACAACCAGTTGAAATAGAGCCAGTGGACGACGACCATCTACTCGGTTTCTTGATTGACCCTCTCAACAGAACCGTCACCTTCCAACTCCCCACCCATTCCTGGCAGATTCGTGATCCGCAGTCAGCAGGGAGTCACAGACTACGCCTTTCAGGCTTACAATCACGCCACCACACACTACAAAAATACACTTACCCAAAACATCTTGCCCACACGACCGCACAGAAGTTGATGCAGCTATATATGGCCAAAGGCCATTCACCAGCACACTGCGCCGCGGCGCTGCGGCCAAGAGGAAAAAGACTATGTGCCGGCACTTTCGCAGACTGCAGTGATATGTATTTTACAGTATTGAACCTTTCAATGTCAAGCACTTCCACTATTTATTATCCGGGCCCTACCTGATCCGATCTAGTTGCGCCGATACGGCTCAGTGTGTGTGTCCACTCCTGTTTCCAAGGACACTACCCTAGTTTTTCTAATCTACCCTACAAGCTTTTCTGTACAGAAGCAGGGGGCACGGCGGCCGTTCACCTAGCCGTGCTAACAAAGCTATGGTGTTCGGTTGGAAGAGATACTGGACGCAGTATCTTGTACCTGCAATTTTTTAATCTTCACTCATTGATGCTTCTAAGTCAGTTCAACGCTGTCTCATACGTTGATTTTGCGATAAAGGGCTAATGCTTGTAACTAAATGTAAAGGGCTAATGCACACCGCGAAGCTACCTGAAATCACGCTCCACGGAGCAACCTTCTCAAGTGTGTGTGTTTTGGGCCTTTGGCTTTTGGGGTGTGTGTCTTGGGATGGAAGAATGGCTTGAACGGCGTATTCCACAGTGGAACGTGCATTTTGGTGCTCGACCCGGGTCCTTTGGTTTCTTGGACCCGGTCGTAGGGATTGGTGTTGGAGACACACCCTAAGACGGTCCTGCAATTGGTGCCATCGCCTGTGACAAAGAATCCCTTGCTCCAACTTCTTGGGTGGAGGAGTGGTACCCCAACCTGGAGCTCAGCAAGCTGCTTGGTGGAAGATGCAATGAGGAATACTACATATAAGCCGGGGAAATGGGCTAGGCAGCAGCTAGACAGCTGGTTGATGGACATCTCTTTGAGCTGGTTGATGGACATCTCTCCAAACCGGACTCCAGTTTCTTTGGATCGCTCCGCAGGTTTCACAGGCAAACCAAACCAAACACAGCGCCACAGCTGTGTTGTGTTGGTTGACAGGTTAAGCTATGGTACCGAGACCACCTTGATTCAACTTGATTCTTCTTGCTCACTCGTTTGCAGTGAATCTTCTATACTTTTCTAATTGACTGTCCCATGGCTGGCCTGCTTGGATGATGATCCCAGTTACACTTGCGGTGCGTTCATGCCACTTGGCGAGGCCCTCCCCCGATTTCTTGCGTGGACTGCTCCAGGCCTCCATCATGCCCAGCAAAACAACTTGGTCATCCAAGCACAAGGGGCCGCCTTTTTCCCGAATGCATAGCGAAGGGTTCTCGTTTAACTCTGGGGGTCTGGGGGTAGAGCCTTGTTCGCGACGAAACTGTTCGCAACCGTCCGCAATAGGGCGCTAAGGCCGCTGCCATTGGGGGAAGCTTTTGGAGAGGGTTTCGGATGAAAACATGACGTGTCAGATTCGTGTGAAATAGCGAGGAATCGTGTGGAAATGTAAGATGTTGAAGTGTGGAGGATGATTTCACTGCGCAGGCGCAGCGTTTTGTGAGATCCGCAGTTTGCTGCGCAGTTCCATTGGGATTAGCGTTTGGAGAGTCGTGTTTTTGGGGTGTTGGATGTGGCCGTGCCATTGGGATTTGCGTTTCAGGGTGTGGCATCGAAGCTCTGTTTTCGTGACCAGTCTCAGCTGAAATGGCGATTTTGGTGGATGGGAGTGTGCTCAGAACGGGTCGAAATCATTCCAAACGTGTGGTGTGGTGCAAATTTTGTTGAAGCTCACATGAGATGATATTGTCACTTTTCGTGGCAGGCGCAGTACTTTGTGTGGGTTTTGAGGTGTGGAAGTGCGATTTTCGTGGCAGGCGGAGGGAATCGTGAGGTTGCGAGGTGTGACGGAGGTGACATTTCGTGGCAGGCACAGTACTTTGCGCGCGTTAGACGTGTGGACGCGGAAAGATTCGTGGCAGGCGCGGGGAATCGTGAGGTTGTGAGTTGTGGTAGAGGTGAATGTCGCTGTCACATTGGGATGAGCGGGTGGTTGTTTGGAGGAGCTGGAATCGCGAAACTGCTTGGCGGGGCTGCGTGATGTGTCTGCTCCGATGTGTGTTTCCGCTTAACTTTTGGAGGAAGTCTCGTACGAAACGCTCGTTTTGCAGACTTTGACATGTGAGTTTTTGAGGAAGTCTCGACGCTCGTTTGGGAGACTTGACGTGTGACTTTTTGAGGAAGTCTCGTACGAAACGCTCGTTTTGGAGACTTGACGTGTGACTTTTGGAGGAAGTCTCGTACGAAACGCTCGTTTTGGAGACTTGACGAGTGACTTTTGGAGGAAGTCTCGCACGAAACGCTCGTCTTGCAGCCTCGAAGCGTGACTTTTGGAGGAAGTCTCGCACGAAACGCTCGTCTTGCAGCCTCGAAGCGTGACTTTTGGAGGAAGTCTCGTACGAAACGCTCGCGTGACTGCTTCTTATAGCGTGTGGGCAGACCGTTTGGCGACGCGACGTTCGTGATGTCGCAGTGCCATTGGGAATTGCGCAGCCTTGGTGGAAAGTGCGTTTGCGTGGCGCCGTGGCACTAGGGAGCGCGAAACACGCTGGCGTAAACGCGGCGTGTCACTGGTGAGCGATGTGGTATCATGTGATATGTTTGCTTCAAGTGTGTGGGCAGACCGTGTGGCGACACGACGTTCGTGAGGTTGCAGTGCCGTTGGGATTTGCGCAGCCTTGGTGGACAGCGCGTTTGCGTGGCGCCGTGCCACTCGGGAGCGCGAAACAGGCTGGCGTAAACGCGGCATGTCGCTGGTGAGCGGGATGATTTGTGGTATCATGTGTGCAGTGTCTGGGCAGACCGTGTGGCGACGTGACGTTCATGATGTCGCAGTGCCATTGGGATTTGCGTGGCCTTGGTGGGAAGTGCGTTTGCGTGGCGCCGTGCCACTGGGGAGCGCGAAGCACGCTGGCGTAAACGCGGCGTGTCGCTGGTGAGCGGGATGATTTGTGGTATCGCGTGATATGTTTGCTTCAAGTGTGTGGGCAGACCGTGCGGCGACGCGACGTTCGTGATGTTGCAGTGCCATTGGGATTTGCGCGGCCTGGGTGGGAAGTGTGTTTGCGTGGCGCCGTGCCACTGGGGAGCGCGAAGCAGGCTAGCGTAAACGCGGCGTGTCGCTGGCGAGCGGGATGATTTGTGGTACTTCTAGTGTCTGGGCAGACCGTGTGGCGACGCGACGTTCGTGATGTCGCAGTGCCATTGCGATTTGCGCGGCCTTGGTGGAAAGTGCGTTTGCGCGGCGCCGTGCCACTGAGGAGCGCAAAACATGCTGGCGTAAACCCGGCGTGTCGCTGGTGAGCGGGATGATTTGTGGCATCAAGATTGTCCCAAAAGAGTGCCCCGCAAGAGCTGACCCACAAGAGTGTCCTACAAGAGTGTTCCAGATAGAGTGTCCCACAAGAGTGTCCCGTATGAGTGTCCCACGAGTGTCCCGCGAGAGTGTCCCGCAACCGTGTCCCACAAGAGCGTCTCACAAGAGTGTCCCTTAAGAGTGTCCCACAAGAGTTTCCTACAAGAGCGTCCCACAAGAGTGTCCCACAAGAGTGTCCCACAAGAGTGCCCTACAAGAGTGTCCCACAAGAGTGTCCTACAAGAGTGTCTCACAAGAGTGTCCTACAAGAGTATCCCACAAGAGTTTCCTACAAGAGTGTCCCACA